CATGACCTAGCACAGGTCGGAAGGCAAGGCCAGGGCCAGGGCTGGGAGAGGCGTGCCCGCGGAGGTGGCCGTACACGCAAGGCCCAGAGTCAGGAGAGATCATGGCTCATTCTGATTTTGTGTCACAGCAAGAGCTATATTTCTACAGCACAGATATGATCATGTCATTCTTGTGTTTAAAAGCCTCTAACAATTCCCTGCTCCCAGTAGGGAATGTCCCAAGTCCTTAGCAGACAGGCAAGGCCCTTCCCACCTGGCTCAGCATATTTGTCCGCCTGTTCCTACCACTCCAGCCACCCTGGTCACCCTGCCCAGCCGCACCCAAGAGTGTGCTCCTCAGTCTGCCCAGACAGCCCTTCTCCCTTCTCTACTCAGTCAGCTTCTAGCTGGTTTTCAAAGTCCATTTCCATGTCACTTCTTCCCTGGCATCCAGACAAAATTACATGTTTCCTCATCACTGTTTCCGTGATATCTTTCTCCAGGCCTTAATGCTTAAACTATCATCTCATTAGTTTTCATTTATGCGTTTTTCTTGTCCAGTGGATGTTGAGCTCCTCAATGGACGTTTCTGTATCCGAGGCTGGCCCTCAACAAATGCTCTTCTAATTGAATTGATTTGAACTCTAGCTTTGACAGTCATTGATTTGATATTTCTAATTTCACATTTTTCCTTTAAATTATAGTTAAAAATGTGAGTTGATATGGCTTGATTTTCAGCTCAAGGAACATGGCTCAAGTAATTCATTTTTACTTAAGTATTTATAAAAAGGTTAAGTGGGGTCAAAGTAAGGTTGTAAGCTTCCCTAGAGTGGGATGGCCACATGAGAAGTGACAAGAAGAGCTGTGAAATGTAACTACTAAGCGGATATCCCACCTGCAGCTTGATTCTTGGGCACCAGCACCGGAGGGAGAGGTGCCCACTGAGTGGCCTCTGCAGATGGAGAGGCCATTCCCGGCCTCAGGGAGTGGAGCCCAGGGATCTGCCTCTGTAACATCCCCAACCCTCACCCCCAAACACACCCTCCCTCACCTCCTGTTCCCTCCCAGGCAATTCTCAGGCTCAGTAAAAATCCAGAACCATTGCTAATAGCCTCTCCAGTGAACACGGCCAGCCCCACTTTTCCCAGCTAAACCCTCTCTCCAAGGAGGTACAACCCGAAGCACATACTGTTGAAAAGCATGAGACAGTCGGTCTATGGTGTCCTGGTGAAAATCAAGTAAGTGATCAATGCATATAAGCGCCAGTAATAACGTCGGCATGAAGACAATGATAAAGACTTTGAACTTTCAGTAGTTCCAGTGTGAAGGTGGTAGTCATGAGCCAGAGCGTTTGAAGTGGTTTAGGCTCATTACATAGTTCCAGGTAGATAGATGTATTCGTAGGTAGCACTATTTTAAAGTCATAATCCTGATTTCCTAACATATCCTTTTGCATGAACATTAAACTAGCAGTTAATCACCAGAAGTAATATGACACTAACTTTAAACATCTGCCTTTACAAGGCAGATGGGAAGTGTCACCATATGTTGCACATGGTTGTTATTATGCTGACCCTTTGATTATTGCAAACTCATGTACCACGAGTTCAAGCATGTTCACAAAATTGAAAATCAGAGCACAGAAAAATACAAACATGTAAGACACATCTGTAGCAGTTTCACTGAGGAGGCAGAGAGTGCAAATAATGCTAAAATGGTATCCATGTGGCATAGATTTAATGATACTAGTTTGTGGCAAAATATTCAGATGGTTAAGGCTTGGTGAATCGGGTGATAAGTTAATTACAGCACTATTTATTTCCACCTTTGTGCCCCAACTGTGCTCTCTCTACACTTGCTCTAACCTCCAAAATACCCCTCCAAAGAAGGTATCATTCCAACCTCTTCACTTGAATAAACTGTGTGCAGAAAATTGTCTATGATCACACAACTAGTTGGTGACAGCACTAGTTTCTGAACCCAGGACTTTCTGACCTCAGAGTTCATGCTCTGTTTCCTTTAGACTATAAGCTGCCCGGGAGCAGAGCATTGTCTGTTTCTATTCCCCGCTTAATTCCCAGAGCCTTGAGCAGAATGTGACCTAGAGTAGATGCCCAATAAACAAAGAATAATCGCATGTTGCTGCCCAGATCCAAATCTCATCCTTGTCAACACCCTGAAACAAATCCTGTTCCACGGTTTATGATAGTATCCTACCCCAGGTATCAAATGAACCATGATGCTAGGCAAAAACACTATAAAAATAAAAATATGCCAGAGCAACCCAAAGAGAGCAAGAAAGAAGTAAAAAAAAGAAAGAAAGAAAGAAAAAGGAACAGAGACCAAGGGGGACAAATAGAAAAGCAAATACTAGGATGGAAAATTTTAATTCCATGCATCCGTGGTTAAATTTAATATATCTTAAATGGACTACCCCAATGAAAAGATAAGGATTATTAGATTGGAATTTTAAAATGATATCAATATGATTCACTGAATTATTTTAGTTCTTCCCTTTTTATCTGCTGGATAGGTAAAAAATGAGGCTTAAGAGACTGAAGACACTGGTGGAAATGTGACCGCTGATAAGCCGGATACGAGCCCTAGTGGCCACTTAACAGATGCAGCAAAGCTTGGCAAGAACTGTGTCCATGGGACACTGGGGCAGGGCTGGGGGCACTCAGGGGCCAAGTGGGGCCCCACCGCACGGAGGAATGAAAGCTCTTTGGGAATGCACAGGGTTTCTGGGCGGTGTGGAAGACACGGCTGGCACCAGAAACCACAGAACTGTAGTGGAATCAATGCACACACGTGTCCGATTTTCTCCAACAGTGCATGGCAGTTGTGGTTCAAAGTAGAGAAAACGGCTGGTTAAACGACTCCGGGTTTGTGTTTTGCAGGGAAGTGGCAGAAGACAAGATGTACACGGACAACCAGGGTCTGGGGAAGAGACTGGTTAAAAACAATTCCGTCTTGGAGTCTGGGCTGAACAGGGAACCTGCGAGGTCAGGGGGAAGGTGTGTCTAAAGAAAGGCAGGGGAGTGGGGCAGGGACTGGATGTCCGCCTGGGGCTGCGGAGCAGGTATCCTGGGAGGAGAAGAGGGAGAGATCTGGGACTTCCACCTGCTGTCGAGAGAGCAGGACGGGTGTCCAGACAGCATCCTGTAAGGCAGCCCGGAGATGAATCAGAAACAAAGGTAAGGCCAGCTAGACAGATTTATTTTTGTAATTAAATATTGAGATGAAAGAGACACACAGGAGGCTGCAACTCCCTTCCTTTTGTTACCTGAACCACCATTTCAGGAGATGCTTAAAAGCTCTGATCGAAGATCATTTAAAAATCTACATTTCTCCAGGTAACAGATTGCTTTCTCTGAATCACTCAACTTTTTTTCTAAAATAGGGAGGAGGAGAATAGTTAAAATTAGCCACCTTTTTATAATGCATTTGCTAAACTAATTAGTAATTTTTTAGCATAAGCAGTTGGTGTGAGAGTGGTGATAATATATTTACAATATAAACTTAGCATCATTAATGAGATTGTCATTTCTTTGTGGAAGCAAGACTGTCAGAAGCTGTCTCCTGTATCATGGAGTTGCTCTTACAGTTCTGGGATGGGGTGGCAATTAGAAAACTCTCAGAAATAGCCCTGAAGTAATAATGTATGTTGTGGTATGTATTTGAAGGGCAGTGATTTGTACTATTTTTCCAAGACTTTTTTCAATATCACAAATGAACAATTTTTATCCTAAAAGCTAAAGCTTGAGTATTCTAAACACTTACCAACCTGAAAGTGTACTTCTTTACAATAAAGTATTGACACGAATGGAAACTCCCTGATTCTCTGATAATGAACGTTTCCTGCTGTACTAATTCTTAAGCAGCCTAATATTAGTCTTTTCCCTTCGAAATTACCATATTTGGATTCAGAGTGAGACTCACTTTTCACTTCTCATTTAATCAATGTTGGCACCGAACGCCCTCTGTCAGCTTGTTATTCAGCTCTGATCTGACCTAATTCTGCTCAGGCACTCGACTCGCTGCCTCCCGGTGGCTAGGCAGAAGGGGAGAGACACGGGAGAGGGGAGAGACACCACATGTTTCTCGTGTTAGGCTGCATGTATGGGGGGCACCAGCCTAATAATTCAGGGACTTTGAGAACATTCCGTGGACAGTTCCAAGAGCCTCCGGAGTTGGCACTGCCCGGGATCGAATCTGACTTGCCCCACTCATCCTCCTGCCCAGCTCTGCAGAGAAGGGGTCAGAAGGGTGCATTCCCCCCACCTCAGCTTGGGGGCACCCCGCCCGCTGCCCCCGTGTGTAACCGATTCCCGAGTGCCTGCCAAATGCGGGAGTGTCCGGCATGTCTCTGAGCCTGGCTCCTGTCCTGACCTTCCTGCTGCCCAGCGATCCCCCATTTATCAGGCTGCGGCACAGCTCGCACACCCCAGTGAACAGAGCCCTGCCTTCGGCTCTGTGTTCGCTGGACACTGCGTTTCCTCCTGCTGCTTGCTGAAGGGGTGCCCACTAAGTGACCTGAATCACGACAGCCCAGATCCTTGGCTGCAGCAAGAACTCAGAGCAGAGCTGACATTTGCATGATGCAGCTCACCCTGGGGAAAGCACAGTTTGACACCTTTTCCCACTTTGACTGATTTTATTTTGTTCTAGAATTCCATTCCCAACAGTGACCCCCAAAGCATAACTTTGCTCTGCTGGCAACTGGGAGATGCCCACCTAAAGTCCCTTCTCCCCTTCTTTCTTACTAAAAATACTCTGATTTTGTCCCCATCGCAAAACACCCAACCAAAATCCAGCTCCCAGATTCCCCTGCAGCAGGTGTGGACCTACAACGAGGTTCTGACAAGCAGGATGCCAGCGACTTCTGGAGTCGCCCTTTAACGTAAGCTCACACGCTCGCGGCGTGCCCTTTGCCCTCGCGCCTCTCTCCGGCTTCCTGCCCGGAGTGCCGGGGGCTCTCCCATTGCCTGCTCACGTCGTTGCTTGATGCTCACACACGGTTTTGAGTTGTGGGCTTTTGTTTTATTTTTGCTTTGCCTCGACATCTTGTTTCTCCAATAAGAATACATCAAAAGCAACCTACAGTCACGGGCAGCTATGTCAAGCCGAGGCCTGTGTGTGTGTGTGTGTGTGTGTGTGTGTGTGTGCACACGCATGCACGCATGTACTTCGGGAGTTGGCGTAGGGTTATAAAAACTGTAGAGGGAACCATTCCCGCATGGAGACATGCATGATGAGGATACGACTTCCAGAGGTGGAATAAAAGAGCATCACAATGTATAGACACAGATATGTTAACATACATAGATATGTAGATATGATACGGATATCTTTTCATCTGGTTTCAAGGTAGGTATCTTACACTGGATTGTAAATGATCACTTTCCTTCCCTTTACACTCAGAGCTTCAGCCATTCATGTGTTCGGAACTGAAATGCTCAAAAGGGACGGGACAGAGAGAGGGCCTTCATGCTTCTGAGCGACGAAGAATCGCTGATGTTCTGCTCCCCCTTCCTCCCGGGAGAGGGCCCCTTGGGAACCGCGGGTGAACAGACTGGGCGGACAGAAGGCAGGTCCCTCTGCGCCCTGTCTGAGGGTCCGTCTCCTGCTAACAGGGCCACTGGGAAGTCACTGCGAGGACGTCTGAAGACGTGAGAAAGAGCATTTGAAGATTCGTTAAATGCCAATCCTTTCTAAACTCCAAATATCTTAAACACAGACACCACACAAACATGAGCATCACTCTCTTTGTAATATTTCTACAATATCTGTAAACCGAAGTGTCCATGACATCATAAAGATGCTGACAAATGTCAATTTACCATAAAACCCACTAATCCTGAAAGCAGTTAATACAATATTTCCAGGAACCTGGCATCTGATAGAAAATGTTTCGACACTATAGCAACATGAAAGGAATGGCGTTTATAATAAATATAATTCATCTCCCAGTCATTTGACCCACGGGATCAACTACAATCCTGCTGGGAACTGCACAGCCTGTGGGATCACTTGAGATGGGTGAGTGGTTGGAGAAGGAGACCTTCTGAGACAGTATTTTGAAGCTTCTCTGTTGCCCTGTAATGATGGGGGAGGCAGAGGAGAGACTCCAGAGACCGCCAAGGTTCAGGCCTCCCTCCTGCCCAGGGGGGCTGTGGTGGGCCCTGCATCGCACGTGTCTGTGTGGCCGGCGATGCCTCAGTTCTGCCTGCAGGAACGGAGGCAGGAATGATGTGGGCCGCTCAGGCCTGGGCCACGAAGACCCTCCTGCGACCCTCCCAGCTCCCTTGAGACCCCGGCCTTTGTTCAGAGGTAAAGGATCAAGGCCCAGGGGATGCACCCCAGTCTGCAAAGAGCTGGGGTCTCTGGAGCACCGTGTGGAAAGCTGTTCTGAAGGACCCGCCTTAGACTGATCTTTAAGCAAAAAATAAACAGGCGCTAAGCGGGTGAAACGGGGCCTGCCTGTCCTGGCCCTCAGCTCCGGCCACATTGGCAGTCAGGCCGTGGCGATGCCCAGGGCTCTAGCCCCCTTCCCCGCAGTAAGTGAGAAGGAAGCTCTTCTGGGACTCCCTTGCCCTCCCTTCACACTCACACTGTCCCTCGGGCACCGTCCCTACTACATCTTGTCTGTCAGTCCCCTGGCAATCAGGTCTCGTTTTTCTCTGTACAGAGGCTGCCACGGGCTGAGCCCAGGAGGGCAGGAAGCAGAAAGAAGAAGGTGTGGTGTGCCCCGGGGGGCTCTCTCCCTCACCACTGTCACGGGCACATGCTTCCTCTTTTCCATCCCAGGACGATCCGAATCATTCTCCGAGGCCGGCTGTCAGCACTCTGCCGAGGTGCAGAGGGAGGTCACGTGACAGGAGTGGCTTCAGGACTTCCTGGAGAGGACAGAGCCAGGGGCTTGGGTGCGAGGGGCCTGAGGGTACCCAGGAATGGCAATGCACACGGGGCCTCAAGGGTGAGACCTGCCATAGTCTTTCTTTCTTTTTTTATTCTGCCTCATGTCCCCTGAGGCTGTGCCAATAAATAATCAACACTTCTTTCCTCCAAGGAGAGTCCGTCGGTGTACACATGGTAGCCAGCTCCTTTATGTGGCATCCCTGGAATTCAGGTCGTGGCAATATTCTAGTTCCATGCCATCAATAGGGAACTTGCTCGAGAGACAGCACCACATTCGATTGCCTCCTGTGCTCCTGAGATCCAGAATCGGAATCGGTTAAGTCCATTCCGAAGCGTGTGCGTGAGCAGAGGTGTGAATGCGTGCCTGGGTGAGTGTGTTCCTACTCACTTCAATGCCGAGTGGTCTAGACTGGCGCCTGAAACAGAGCTGGTTCTGGACGTCTAAAAGGATTTGTCATGGAGGGTCAGAAGTCTTTGTCCTCATTGCTGTTATTCACAGCTAGAGCGAGGCTGTGTTCGCACGGCCCGGGCGTGGGTCCCCCTCCAACGCAGGCCAGCCGTGAGGCTCCGCGCGTGGTATGCAACCTCTCGGGTCTTCTGTTTCTGTTTCTGAAATGCGGGAATCGTAGTGGTGGCTATTTCATAGGCCTATGTGGGGATAATACAGGATAAACCAACTCAGGGCTGTAATAGTCCCTCATTGTATATCAGCCCGTACCGCTAATAACTGTACAAAGAAGGTTGCCTGGTCTGCCCAGGACGTTACTGTGTTCATCATGAAAGACCTCTGAAGTCCCTTCCATTCTGGATCGTCTACGAATCTCTACCGGATCTTCCTCTGCCATAAAGTAGGGGTGACGCTCACTTATTTGTCTTGCTGGGTTCTTGTCCAGGTCAGTCAGTAGTACCTGTGGATCCCCTGACCTACAGCCCAGCGCCTGCTGGGGAAGGTCCTTTAAGTGTAACTCCGGGGGAAAATCTGTCTCCCAGCCCGGGGCAAATTACCTTTGAAACAGAAATCAGTCAAAGGGAGAAATAAAGTGGGAGAAACCTGTTTATTGCCCACAAGTAATTGTCCACTTCTGCTCGCCTGTGTCTCTCCCAAACCAGCTGCAAAAGGGACCCCACCCAACCTCTCCAGTCCAGATATGCCCTCGCTGGCCCCACCCTTGAAATCACCTATTGACACCGAAATTAACTACATCTCTCCACCCCTTGGAAACACCTATTGATATGCAGATGCACTAAGGCCAGGCGAGAGATTCTGGAAATACTGCAATTTTACCCACACTAAGGGACAAAGCTGATCACGTCGCACCTCCACTGGACACCCAAAGTCGCTTCTTTTCTAACACAATCAGGAGAAGCTCCTGACATGGTCTGTGAGCCCCAAGCCCAGCAGTCCAGCCTTATTACCAGTTGCAGTGCCCACCTTGACCCTGTACCCAAACTGCTCACCATCCGGGAATTGTGCAGCACGCCTTTCTGCCTGGCTCTTCGCTTGGGTTGGAGTGCCGAGCCCCACCTCCATCCCCAGCCCACATGCTCTCCTTCGCCACATGCACAAGGCTTCCATACCATCAGGATTTCTTTCAGGGTTTACAAATCCCCTTCATTTCAAAGCTTCCACCAATTCTACCCCCAAAGTGAAATGGACTCCTCTCCTCCCTAGGTGCTCACAAGCTTTCCTCCATGTCTGCCCTTGTTTATCATTCATGTGTCCCCAGTACCTAAATCAACACCTGGCATGTTGAGCCACATGAGATTTCTGTTTTTACAGGTTAAAGCTCAAGTATTGGCCATTTCACATAGTTCATCCTAGAATGGGTGCCTAGTAATATCTGCTAATAGGGTAAATAAATGAATGACTGAGTGAATAAACCGTTGCCCCCACTGACCTACTACTAGTTGAAAAGCCTCTTAAGCTGCACCATGCATTTTCACAAACACTGATTTATCTTCTTGGAGGCATATTTATCCCTTTTTTAATTCTCCAGGAGAATTTTTTTAAAAATCTAAGTTATATCTGTGAATTAAGTTTTTATAGTAAAATAATAGAGACAGTTCCTAATATTGCTCTCAGGCACATGGAACATTTTAGAATTGTCTAAGACAATCTCAAACACACTCACATACACATGTGGACTCACATACACACTTTGGAATGAACTTACCCACTCTGAATCCTCAACTTGTATGTATTCATCAGTGTTTCTCCCTTACTGAACCAGCTCAAAACATTGCAAGAAGTCCCAATTTACTCAATCCATCATAATTAATTAGTTTGTTACCTGGAAACTAGTTAATTTTCTTATTTCCCAGCCCCACTCCCTGACCCAGCTATCTATTAAAAATCAGCACCCAGTGTGACAAACAACCATAAAACAAACACATCTGAGGTGTTTGTGGCTCACATTTCATATCAGGGGACGACACACAGCACCCTTTGATGATGGCCTCTCTGGGGCTCTTCTGCGATCAAAGACGCAAAGGTGGAACACATCCTCGGCATTAGGGTTCCCAGCACCTCAGGCACAGGATGTCACATTTGACCGTCACTGTGCTGAGGACCAGCCCTCTGCAGGGGGACTGCCGTGATGGGAGTTGAGCTGTGCTCCTTCCCTGACGTTGAACAGTCTGAAGGCTTGACCATCAGTGGGCTGTAGGACTACGTCAGCCGGCACAAATCCAGTGCCGGGAGAGGCCGGGCTGGCCAGGTAGGAAAAGGAGGTTAACCGTGCAGTGGCAGGGAGTGTGGCAAGGTATTCTGCAGTCAGCAGCCGCTCAGTTCCAGTGAACTGTCACTATGCTTGCCTGTGAAGGCACGATTGCCAGACTTTAGGATTTTTAAAAAGAAGCTAGAAATTTGGCTGTTTATGAGAAATGTCCCGGTTTTGAAATACTGCATGTAATCATACAAAACATGGCGAAAGCCAGATCTGCCCTCCAGGCACCAGGGGCAAATCCCGTGTGAATCACGAATCCAGATGCCTTATGAATACAAGGTATTCAGCAACTAAAGGGCGTTCTGGGGTCGGAATGCTCAGAGAAAACTCTAATGTAAATACCTTCGCTTATCATTCTGCAAATATTCTGACATGTTGAATACCCGTCTTACATTTTAATTTGGAAAATAGAGTTTTGATACCTCTAGTTACCATTTGGGATGTCCTTAGGGTCAGTCGTAGGCCCACAAGGCTAAGAAAGAGAGGAAACAGGCTTAAATATTAAAGGGTTAAAAAAAAAATTGAGCTAGACAGTTTATTTTAGGGAATAGGGAATGTTAAAAGCTGCCTCCGTGTTTTCCAGCTCTTGATGAACGTGTTCTCTCTCACTTGCTCGTCTCCCCAAACGTAAGTGCTTGGGCTCTGGTGTTAGAAATTGCCCTTGAGTCCCTCTCAGAGGGCTGGTCCGAGGAGGGCACCGCATCCATTAGACGATTGCTGCTCCTTCCTGACAGTTCTGGTCCAACATCAGCAAAAGCTGCCTTCCTGAAATTCTGAAATCCTGCCAGCCTGCAAGCCAGCAGATGGTACCACCAGCACCCCTGGGATGCGCACGTACACGCCTTCCCCACGAGAGAAGGCAGGTGGGGCTCTGGGGTGGGCGCCCAAGGAACTTACCCATCCACGCGCTGGGTGGGAGGGAGGGCGTCTGAGGGAAGGGTCAGCTCCCACCCCCAGTCCAGGAAGCCGGGGCATTGCAGGCCCGCCACACGTCACATTTCCACGTGGGGATGGAAACATCGCTCCATGCAAGGGCGCCTTTGAGCGGGAAATGGGAGGGTCGGCAGGTGGGGCTGGAGACTGGGAAGCACAGGAGAGAGTCCGCCTTTGCTGGTGCAGAGCCCCGCTGCGCCTCAGTAGCTGGGCTCTGCCCTCGGACCCCGTCTGCTGTTGGGTCGGGAGACACCACCACCCTGCCAACCCTTCCCTGCCAGACAGCTGCTTGGACTGCAGAACCCCCAGGTGCAGAGCCCTGGGGGCCTCCTCAGGGGTCCTTGATCCCTCTCTGCCTTTTCCAGAAGGAGGCTAATTTGCTGCTATGTCAGGCGGCTCTGGCGCAGAGCAGGAGAGGAGAGAAAAGGGAACGAGTCGGCAGCGTCACTGAAAAGGGTCACGATGAGTCACACCCGCTCCCAGGCCGGGCCTCGCCAGACGCCACACGGCTCATCAGCAGCCCCGAGGTCTGGCCTGCCTCCCACAGAGGGGCAGCAGCCCCAGGCCGCAGGCCCCGCGGCCCGCAGGCCCGTCTCCTCCCACACCCACTCCGGGCAGGCCGGTCTGGGCAGGCCGGGGTGTCGCCGGCTCCGGATGCCATGTGGCTCTGCTGGCTGCTCTGTGTTGCTTCAGGTGTGATGATTCAGGAGCTCAGATGGTGTGGAAATCAAGACAAAAGCTCTTCAAGTTACAATGACAGAGTCACCCGCTGAGCCACCGTTTTCTGTCCAGGTTCCCTTGGGTGGACCCAGGAGCCAGCATGTCGGTGGCTGTCAGGCTCCTGACCCCTGCTCAGCCATCGCTGTGAGCCCTGGTCCCTGGCACTGGGACATTCTTTTCCTTGTCTGAGTAACAGCAGCAGTTACGACAGGAACCTGCAGCTTGGCCGTCGGAGGGCTAAGAGCCCCGAACCACGATCCCATTCATGTGCAGGAGACCGAATGGGCTGGGGACCCCGCCGATGTCAGCTCCCACAGTAATGGGGAGCAGAGGCGGAGAGGCCAAAGGTCCAGCTCAAAAGTGCAGCCCAGGGACAAGGAGCCAGGTCCCGGCTTCCCTGTGCACCCCATGTGTCTAAGCGCAGTCCCCAGAGAGGATACGCTGTTGCTAGTCAGGACAGTAAACTGTTCTCCGCTTCATGAAAACACCTAACTCCACAAAGCTCAATCAGAACTAACCAGGAAGATCTGGCTTCCGTCAGCATGCTCTGCACCCTCCGCAGGGGCCATGGAAGCCCAGGACACGGGGCGGAGACGTCCTAAGAGGTCGCATCAGGCGCCCGATCATGGTGGCACATCATCCCAGAGGACGGAGATGCTCTGGCGGAGGGAGGAAATGGCTCGTGCCACCCAGATCAGGGCAGGGGGCTGGCGTCCCTCCTGCCAGAAGCACAGCAGGGCTGACGCCCGAGCTAACATGTCAGCATAGCTCCATGGAATCTGCAGAAAGTGACGCTGACTCTAGAAGGGCCTCGTGGTGGAGAACCATCACTAATGATGTAAGCAGGACCTGGAACATCACGCTCCCCGTCTTCAGGCTGTGGTTTCCCCGCTTTGGCTTTGAGGTGTCACTGTGGTGATCTGGGCAAGTGTGGTAAGCCCCTGGGCACATTCCTGTGAGTTTCTAAGGCTTTCAAAATTCCCTGCAAAACTGCTAGATGGTCGTTCATGCTGGTGAAGAAATGGTGGTACGCTCCGTGTGGCAAGGGATCTTGTGGACTCAGCATCCTTCTGAGATGTGGGAGGACCTCTCTCCTCCGTGACATCGGGACATGCAGAGAAAGGCAAAGATGACTCGGCAAATAAGTTAGGCACAATGGTCAGGATCGAGGGCTTTGCGATGGACAGATCCGGCCGGAGGCCACTCTGTCCACCAGCTATGCGACCCCGGGCAGGGTGCAGCCTCCCTCGGCCCCTTTCCTCTGTCTATAAGGTGGGGGTAGTGAGGGCCGCTTGCTCACAGTGTTCTTGGGAGAATACAAGAAGCTGACGCACACCGACAGCACCGGACAGCGACCGGCCGACCGCAAGTGCAGGTCGGGTGGTGGTGTCAGTTCTTCTGAAATGCAACGAGGTAAGTGGCAGCTAGGTGTAGATGAAGTCTAAAAAGTTTTAAGATCTACACTGCCTTCTTAGCTGTTAAATCTCTCATAGAGACTTATGAACCATAAATAAGAAATTTCCCTGAAGATAGTCATTTGGGAAAATAGCTCCCTTTCCTCCGCCAGCTGCTGCCACTTGCTCGGCTTCATCCCTTCTCCGCAGAACTTGGTAAATAATTCAGCCACGCCTGGCTTCTCCACACCTGGGCTGCAATCCTTGGTAACAGACATGCCCACGTTATCTGTGCGTTTCTGTCAGAAAGCTTCCTCGGGGCCACTGCAGCTGGACACCCAGCCCCGTGCCTTAGGGCAGAGGGACCCAGCTCTGCCCTCCCCTCCCACTAGCCTCATTTGCTTCTCACAGCTGGGTGACACACTGGCAGGTCACAGGCCGGGAGCCGTGCTCCTCACGGGGTCCTGTCGCAGCAGCAACCATATTTTTCCTTGCCGTAAGGAGTAATTGAATTAAATTAGGCAGCATTTGATCCTGCCCATACTAATTGCCTTATGCAGTTGAGGTCATGGACAGGAATGAGCGGAGCAGTTAGACGCTGTCCCGGTCCTATAGGTCCTGGTTGGCATGTTCTCATGTCCCTGCACACCCCAGAGACCCTCCTCTTGCATGAGGAACTCTCTGGAGGGTAAGGGGGGTTCAGCAAGCTGGGGAGAGCATGGGGTGAACCTCGGGCATGTGCGGAACACAGAAGAGCTGGAGGCGAGCAAGGTCTGATGCCACGACAGATGGACATGCAGCTGTTTAAAGAGGAACACGTGGAGACCCAGACCACTAGTGACATCTACAAATAGGGGCTCAAAAAATCGTGTGTGTGTGCGTGCATGTGAGCAGGATTGGCAAGTCAGAATTAAGGGTTTTGTTCTGGTAACACCCTGAACTGCTCGTGGTTAAAAAGTCACGTGTCTTTGGCAAACAAGCAGCCCAGTAGCCTTTACCAAAAGCAAATGATGTGGGCATGTCGCTTATCTAAGAGTAAATAAGGTACACAGATGACTCCCTTCAAAAGTCTAACTCCCTGTATTTTCCCTTCTTTCTGCAGATAGACATCAACTTCTAAATTTATCATTAGGAGGCATAAAAGGGACCCCAGGAAAAGGGGGAAGTCCCTGGGGTTATGCCTTTAAGAACCTCTTTCTCTGTCATCTTTCCCTGGTCCTCACTGTCCCCTTGGTTCCCCCAATAGTGCTCGTTTTCCGGACGTGAAACCGAGGGTGCTTCGCAGGCACCTGGCCTTCAATCTCTGCCCCCATCTCTTAACCCCAGACAGCAAACATGGAAACAGAAGTTTTCCCAGGTTGGGGGCCCTGGAAATTTGCCTTTGCTTGTAAAACACTGACCAGGCTGACGTCCATACGCAGAAAATGTGGTCTGTCCCTCCTCCGTGGCAGTCTTCCTGGGGGCTGGCCTTTGGGGAGCCAGTGAGCTGAGCTGCCAGGCTGTGAGCAATGCTCGTCCGGGCCAGCGACTGGGGCCTTCCGGCAGGAAAAGGGTCAGGGCCAGGGCTGGAGAGCCCCGAGTGGCACGGAGGACGTCTGGGGGGACATCGTTGTCCTCAGGAGACAGGAGAGAGGGCTCCTGACTGTGTCTTCCCCATGTTCCTGCTCCAGGAGGTGGAGACAGGGGTTCCCCTGCCTTTATCAGAAGGTTCCATCTGAGTGGATAAGGATCTGTGGGCCGAGCAGGGGGCCGAGCCCTCACACCCAGTGACCTTTACATTGTGGGTCATGACACACCCATGACTCCCAGGACGGGGAAAGTTTCCGCTGGGATGAATGACTCCGCCCAGTAAGGGAGCCCCATGCCCTCAGTGCCCACCAGCGTGGCCCCCAGCCCACCGACCCCCCGAAGTCCAGCCAGCTCTCTCCCGGGGAGGGGTGCTCCCGAGAGACGGGGTGACTCGCTGGTGCCGTGCTGACACAGCGATGGCAGCGAGTCTCGCTGCTCTGCAGGGAACCAGCTTAGAGCTCAGACCGACCCCTGCATGAGGATGAGGAAGGGAGGGCGTGCCAAAGGCTCCCTGCTCTGGGGTCTTTTGTGTGTGGCTTCGTGACGCTAGGGTAGGGCTTACCCTTGATCCTCGGATCCCTGAAAGACCGTCTCTGGTCGTACACACCTCCCACTCGCTGCTCCCTGGGAGCTGTGACGCAAAGGACAGGCGGGTCGCACGCGGCGCCGAATCAGGCAGGTGTGTGACCTGGCCGAGGGGCTCTCGCCGTACCAAGGGCAGAAGCCAATCCCCAGAGCCTGAAGTCCAGCGCCGGCCCGGCTCCGGCTGGGCGTCCTCGCCTGCCCGCAGGTGCTCACGCGGGCCTCCAATGCTTCCCTCCCCACTCCGTCCGTGCCCCTCACAGGGGCCTAGTCACGGCGGTGAGGGCTTCATCTGCCACGTGCCCACCACGGAAAGGCCCAAGGCAAACGTCCAGGGCACCCGTCTCTCCTTAACTTCGGTCCATTCAACTAACACCGGCGGGGAACCTGCCACGGGGCAGGGCCTGGGCTGGCTCCTGGACACAGGGGATGAACGAACATCATATAGGATGTCAAGGCTCACGTGTGATTTTATACCCAGCTGCTGACTGAATTTTTAGCAATAATGATATCTTAATCTTAAAATCTGCTATTATTTGTTGAGGACCCACCAACCTAGCCTGTTTCGGCTGGGCAATACAAGGTATTTCCTGGCTCACACATATGTGCCCTTGCAGACTCACAGGCCAGGCAAGGTGCACGTGTATCCCCACAGTCCCATCTCGATCGTGAGTGGTAGATCATGTCAGCACTCATCCTAGGGTTATGGGGCTTCTTATCTGACTTTTATATTTATGATAAGAAATGTAAGAAAGGTGTATGATAATTAAATTGGAAGTAAAAATGTCTCCCTGCTTCTCTAGCAAAGCTTCCAGATCAGTTGACTATCTCAAGATTACAAATCGTGCTCTTTTGAAAAAAGCTCTTCTTCGCAACTAGTTCTCTAAGTGAATCAGTTTTGTCAATCATTACACAAAATAAATACATATATTTCACGGAAGTGGAGTTGTCATACATGACCCCGAATTGTTGTATTAGTTGTATCTGTTGTTCTCATTGATTCATTTCGTTATAAATTTGAACTCACAAACTGAGCATCCCTGAAAGAAGGCTGCTCGTATGGCGTTGGATGCTGGGGTCCTCACGGGGGTGAGCATCTGGTCCCACAGAAGCCTGAGGGCCGCGGAGAGTGCCTGAGGGTCAGCTTGGCATGCAAGCCCCTGCTAGGACGGTGCTGCCCGCGCCTCAGCTGCCCATCCGTCCGCTCCCCGTCTGCTGCCCCGCACACACCCTGCACCTCGACAGCAGAACCACCTGCCGCTGCTCCTGGGGCGTCTTCACTGTGCGTGTGGCATCCTCTCTGAGCCTGCCCTTCCCCCCTCCCCTTTCACTGAGCACCGCTTGGGAGACAACCTGAGTTGTCCAGGTCAGGGCAGGATGTGAGCACCCACGGACCTTCCCCCTGCCCTGCTGGGTCCCTATAAAGCAGCGACACTTGCTCCCATTGCTGTGTCGGTACAGTAACGGTGAATCACCCTGTGTCTCAGGAGCACCCCTCACCGGGAAGGAAGCCTGGGGAAGCGGGGAGGGCCCAGAGATGCCGTAGCTTTTAGTTCACGTGTCTGAGCCCCTCGTGGGGACATGTGGTAGCTTGTTCATATTTATTCACTTAGTGGCTACCCAATGCTGGCTCCTAAGATGTACTTACTCAATGTGTCTTGAGTGAATGAATGAGCAGATTAGCAATTTCAATAAAACCTGGATGTAGTCCTTGAAAGATCTGAGCTTCTGAATTTCTGAACTGTCCCTGCTTGACATATAATGGCCGCTAAGCATCAGGTTCTGCTTTAACTACTTACAGAAATTGCCCCGTCTAACACTCCAAACCAGCTCCACGAAGTATAGGCAGCATAATCACTATGTTAACGACAGACGAGGAAACCAAGGCACAAAGAGTTGACGTAACCAGGCTAGAGAGAGGCAAAACTACGCCGCGTGCCCCCCTCGGGCATGCCCTCCTGCCGCACAGAGGGCTACGTGTGGCTGAGCATCTCAGGGTCACGGGCCGTGACACGGACCCTCCGAACAGACGCGTTTAGCGACTGGTGAGGTCCTCCCTTGGTGCTGGTCAGTCCAGAGCCAGGTAAACTTGCAATGCCAACTCCACTTCATCTCCTGCCAAGGCCCCGGACATGAGAGCTTCTCTATTTCCTGTCTTGGGAAAGGCCGGTGGGAGAAGACGGGGGAATGTGAGCTTTGGGGCCACAGAACCCCCCAATGGGAAGACCGAGTCTACCAGTCACCAGCTGACTGGCCTCTGGATGCGTTTCTCATCTTTAAAATGAGGCCCTAACACCAGTGTGACATTGGCTGGTATTGGCCGTTAGAATGACAGAATGACATAAGTATGTACAAAATAGTGTATCCACTCTTTCCACACCAATGGATTGATTTGAACCTGCTGTAGGGTTTGAAAACCAAGCTTGCTAGAAGCTCGCCTAAGACAGGCTTTGGGGGGGGGGTCTGTGGTGCACCTGTGAGCAGGGCCCTTCAGCTTGGGACTTGTCCCCCCTGAGCAGGGACTTGGGCCACCCTGAGTTCTCTGCCTCTTCCCGGATTCTTAGCCGCCTTCCAGGTCGGAGGGGCCCAGTTCCAGGTAAGCGGGGCTCCCGGGGGGCTTCACCTTGTCTGGCTCACCATGTGGTGACAGCACGCCACACCTCCTTTACCCCCTCGCAGCGTGTGCAAAGGTGGAGCCCAGTCAGGGCCGGTCCTACTGTTCGCCGCCTCCACAGCTTGCACGTCTAGGTAACAGCAAACACCGTTCATGTGTGTGCTGATGCGCTCCTTCAGCGTGACCCGGGGCTCTGCCAGACTAAGCACGTTTCGTTAGGCCGTTTTCACCGGGAGGTTTTTCTTACAGAAAATTATCTACAATTAAAAATGTAGAGAAATTTTCTCGGCATGGCATAGCTTTTTAAAAGACAGGGACTAAACCTTTGTCGAAAAGGCAATTTATCCTGCCAGTAATTTTCTACCTCTGTCCTGCTATTATTAAGGATGGCAGTTTTAAAAGGAACTCTAAGCTCCCATCTCTCCACTCAGCCCAGAATCTCACATAATGGCCTGTCTCTAGCTTCACCCACTGCCGTGGAAGTAATTATGCCACATGCTCAGAAGGGTGATGCCCTACAGACCAAAGAAGCAATTGGATTCAAAATGAAAAACAACCTCTATACAGGGAGGGAAAGAAGCCTGAGGAAGCGGGGAGGGTCCAGAGAGCGGTGTTCTACGTGGAAGAGGGCTGTGGACAAAAGTTTCAGAATAAAATATCACCAAAATAAGACAAAAACATATGAAGTGAGTGAAATCATTTTCCTGATGTTGCGCTCTTTCTCCTGTGTTTTCCTGTAACAACATATTGTTCAATGGTCTCAATAAATGGCTCTTTATTGCAGCTGTGGTATGCCCTGTATCAAGCATTCCAAGTGAATAATTTTATTTCTTTCCTAAAATCCTGGAAAAGGATCACAGACTTCAGGGTTGTAGATATGATCTGGGAGTTCATCTTGTCCTGTTCCTCTGCCTTCAGGAAGGTTCCAACCAAGATTTTCCAAGATCTAAATCTATACTGGAAATATCATGAAATAATTTTTTATTTGAGACCAAGGACTAAGTGCCCCCCACCCCCAGGGTAAAGGGTCAAGGAAGGAGCATGGGATCCCCGGGAGGGAGACCCTGGTGGAAGTCTGGGCTCCGGGTTTGCCAACCCTGCTTCTCGGACAAGTCGCCTGACACCCCTGCCCTCGGAGACGACAGAGAGAGGCGGAAATAATCTTCATCCCAGGGCTGCCCAATGATGGGGTGAGACAAGGGGGGTGAAAGAGCTCTGCAAACTGGGGAGCGCTGTTCAAATGCCTTTTACTGACATACTTGCTCAGCTCATTTCTTCCTCCGTGGACTCAAAAATCTGCAAGCCACCAACATGCAGGATGGACGCCACAGAGCAGCCCAGGCACCAGCAGGTGGCAGCTTGGAGGGGCTGCCAAGTGCCACGGAGTGGGGGGCACCAAGCCCACTCAACCTCCTGCCTCCGCCCCGGGACGCACATGGGTGCCCTGTCCAGCCCAGGCTGGCTCCAGCGCTAGAACAGTGGGGCTAGTGACCGGGGGACTCACGGGACCGCTGTCTGGCCATAGGATTCTCAGCTATGTACTCACTTATTTGGTTACTCATTCAAAATAAATAGTCCTTAGAGACACGGACTCTTGAGCCAGGCAGCCTGGGTACAAACCCTGGTTCC